ATCGAAGGGGCGACAGTCCCCGAGATATTGAGTGCTTTTCGGCTCTGGAGTCATTTTTTATAAACTTGGTGTTGCCGCATCGAGGGCTTATGAATTCGAAGTTTCCTGACCCGAAGGTCGAGTTCCTGACGCCAGTCCCCGAGTGTTCGAGAAATATTTGGTTTTGGATCCATTTGAAAGCATCAAACTTCTTTGAAACGTAAAGCGTTTTGATGGGGGAGGAAATATTCTTTGATTACCTGGCACAAGTATACATGTTTTTTCCATCAAGGGCTCAATTATTCTATGCGGACACGGTTCATTCAACCATTTGGCCCGGTACATCATTTTTCTATTGAGACCCTTTTTGTCTTATCTTGACTTCTCTAAGAAGGTGATCATCTAGGGGGGATGCCCCCCAGTGTTTGAGGTTGATTGAAGAAGCCTTGAATACTTGTTAGGTTCTCCTTAGGTAGCATGTAGATGTTGCCTCATTAAAAACCTTTTTCGGTAAAACCCTTCTTGGGATAAAACCCGATCGAAGGAAAAAAGATCAACGTATGCTTTTGAAACCTTAAGTTCTTCGAGCTGGAGAGAACTTGGCTGTTTTGATCGGACATCTGCGCAAAGGTTAGTGTGAGATATAAATAAAAAGGGGGACGCGGCACGGTCCTTTACTTGTTTTATTTGGGTATAGCCGAGAACGTGTCCCGTTAGTGCTATTTCACGATTTGCTTATCTCGTGGCTCCTTCGATGTCGAAGGCATCGATGCTGGTGCTACATCGTGTACTACGAACATCTCTCTTGCTGTGTGTTGTTCTCCATACACGGTTTTTACTCCGTCCTCTGTCGAAAACTTTATCATTTGATGAAGGGTTTATGGTACTTCTCTCATGTCGTGTATCCATGGCCTTCCGAACAAGGCGTTGTACCTCATGTCTCCTTCGATGACATGGAATTTGACATTTCAGGTCATGCCAGCCACGTTGACCGGGAGGGTGATTTCCCTTTTCGTTGTTACACTCGCCATGTTGAATCCATTAAGGACTCAAGAGGCGGGCACGATCTGGTCGAGCAGTCCGAGCTGCTCCACGACCCTTGACCTGATAATATTGGTCGAGCTGCCTGGATCCACAAGTACACGTTTAATTTGAAATGTATTTACAAGAAAAGAAATTACCAATGTGTTGTCATGAGGTTGAGATAAGGTCTCGATGTCCTCATCGTTGAATGTGAGAGCGTCCTCAGGTATGTAACCTCGAGTTTGCTTTTCCCTGTGATGGATATTTTTGTTCTTCTGATAGTGGGTTCCTGTGGGATGTCAACTCCTTCCATGATCATGTGGATGACATGTTGTGGCTCATCTGCTTCATTTTTCCTGTTCGCCTCTTTTTCCCGGAACTTATTTTTGGCCCAGTAGCTAAGGAACTCCCGGAGGTGCCCTTTGTTGAGTATTCGGGCTACTTCTTCTCAGAGTTGTCTTCAATCTTCGGTCTTGTGACCATATGTGCCGTGAAATTCACACACTAAGTAGGGGTTCCTCTGCGACAGATCTGATAGTATAGGTCTTGGCCACATGGTGTCTCTGATTTTACTGATGGCAGATACAATGTCTGAAACGTCAACGTTGAAGTTGTATTCCGATAGGCGATGTGCCTCCGTCGGTCCTGTGTGCCTATTGAATTCGACTCTGTTCATGAGTCCTCGAAGGTTCTGACCTCGGTCTGTCCTTCGATCATTTCGGGGTATGTTACGCCTTGGGGCGTTTCTCCTATCTTCGGTGTATGATTGGTATCTTTTCTTATTTGGCTTTGGCTCCTTTGCCAGGAGTCTGGTTGAGTATACCGAGACTGAGGGGGCTCCCAGTTGGTTATCCTCGACCCTAATCTTTGACTGATATCAGTTGTGAACATTCGACCACTTCACGGCGGCGTATTCAACCAAATTCTGCTTCAGTTGCTTCGAAGCCACCGAGCTTCGCTCATTCAAGCCTTGGGTGAAGGCCTGTACTGCCCAGTCATCAGAGACTAGTGGTAATTCCATTCGCTCCATTTGAAAGCGAGATACGAACTCCCGCAACATTTCGTTTTCTCTTTGTTTGATTTTGAAGACGTCAGATTTCCTCGTAGCCACCTTGATGGCACCGGCATGTGCCTTTATGAAAGAATCTGCCAGCATGACAAATGAGTCTATTGAATTCGGAGCTAAGTTGTGATACCACATCATGGCCCCTTTCGAGAGTGTATCCCCGAACTTCTTTAGCAGGACGGATTCGATCTCATTGTCTCTCAGGTCATTGCCCTTCACAGCACAAGTGTAAGCAGTGACGTGCTCATTGGGGTCCGAGGTTCCGTTATACTTTGGTAGATCGTGCATTTTGAATTTCTTCGGTATGGGCTTTGGAGAGGCATCTGGGACAGAAATGGTTTTTGTACGAACTTCTTTGAATCAACACCTTTCAGAATCGGGGGTGCGCCCGGGATCTGGTCGACCCTCGAGTTGTAAGTCTCTACCTTTTTGTCGTTGGCTTCTATCATCTTTTCGCCCGACTCAATGCTCTTTGTGAGGTCTTCAAGCATCTTCATGATAGCGGGGTCGGCTGCTGACCCGTTGTTCCTCGACCTTTCGGGTACCTGTTCGGTTCGAGGGGCCGTTTTCGGGGCCGCTGTACTTGGGGTTTTTTGGTGGCTTTGCAGTTGAGCAATTGCCAATTGTTGTGCCTGCAACATCTCAAAATAACGTGAAGGATAACCTCTTGTTCTTCTCGAGCTGGGGTTTCTGAGCTTCTTGTTGGTCTCCTTGGCGTACGCTCCTATTAGTGTGGGAGCTTATATCGACGTGTTGGGCATCGTGTGAGACCACATCTGCGGGGATTGACTCTGGTGCGCCCTCAGGGTTTAGTGGTGGCGCACCAATACCTGAAACAGCTACACCATTCTCTCCATGGTCCTCAAGACCGTTGTTTTCATATGCATTCACTGAATTAGACATTTTGACCTGAAATTAAAGATTCTTGGACAAGAAAAAGCGTGAAAGATAACTTGCGTTATGTAGTAAACCAGCAAGAAAATGATCACTATTATTTTTAGCCCCACGGTGGGCGCCAAACTGTTTACCTTGAAAATGATAATTACAATTAAATTTGATTTTGTGATTCTAAAAATATGTGATCTGTTTTTATGCTAGTTGTTAGGCAATAGATGCTAAATGTGAGACTAGAAAATAAGATAAGAACTTGAAAATAATATGTTTAAGCAAATCGAGTGACTGAGAATCGGAGCCTCGAGCCTGACTATACGGGGCCTCGAGGTCGAGCTTGATGCTGAATTATGAATGGCCGATGAAGGGCTAACAATATTAAGAGCTTTGATGAAGGCTCTTTATGGTTAATAAAGAGCAATGGATTAAGAACAATAGATAGTGCACAATGAATATAAGCAATAAATGTAAGTAATGAAACTAAGAGAATATGTTTAAGTTAGAGACAGAGAATGTTCTTGTTTTGAATGTTGTGAGTAGTATGTTCTCTCTACAAAATGACAATGGTCCATTTATATATATGGGGGAATCTCAACATAGTACAAGTATATTTATTACAAGGATATATGGCTGGTACAGCCATTTAATACCACGGTACGGGCTTGAACTAGCCTAATAGACTTGATCAACTTTAATCATGTGCCTTGGGAATCTCCCACTCGTTCATCGTAACCATCAATTTACTCTGCCCCGAGGTCGAGCATATAGGATCCTCGAGTTCGAACCTCGAACCGGACTCGAGCCTTTTGAAAATGGGTCGTGGGATATCATAATAATCCTAAAATCAGGCCCTCCGATTTTAACCGTATACAAAGTATCCATTTTTAAGTGGATAATATGAATCTTATCCTTATTTGACCCATTTTTAAAAAGTTAATTATCCAACCCATTTTTTAGTGGATAATATAGATGAATATTTTTTTTAATCCACTTTGCTGCCACTAGGTAATACAAAGAACTTGTACTTAATTACCTTACAAGTACGCTCATTGCGTAAATAATATAAATTATTCTTTAATGCAAAGCACCCAAAACTCGAAAAGCAAGGACAAGATGTAGGAAGATGGGAGTAAGAAATTGGTTGGCTGGGAACTCTTCCATTTTATCTAACTGACGTGACGTCACCACAATGTATCTAGTGGTAGTACGATACTGAACTCAAACGCTACGATCAAATCCAATCATCTCGTTCTTTTCCAACAGTTACATTTAAAGCTGTCAGTTCCATGATATTTTGGAAATAGAGCTCCCCAAATACGGAGAAGTTTTATTTTGTGTCTCATACAACTTACGCTAGTTATATGAGGCTCCTTTTTATCTCACAAATTTGTGGACTCCACTCTTATATTTCTGGGCACACAGAAATTTGCATCCGCAAAACTGTGAGACAAAAAAATTGTCTCATACGACTAGTGTCAGTTGTATGAGACACAAAATAAAATTTTCCCCAAATATGTAAGCTATTGAATGCTTCCTACTAAAGTTTGCGTTTATATTATACTAATAATGTCAGGGCGTCATGCTAGGCACTGCACAATTTGAAGATATCAAAACAACTGGGAAGGGCGCCTTGATGTAACTGGTTACTGCCATATGATCAGGAGATTATGAATTCGAGCCGTGAAAATAATATCTTGAAAAAATGTAGCATAAAATTGCATACAATAAATGTGTTTCTTTTCCTTCCTTAGCCGTATACGAGTTAGCATTATGTTATATTTCTACAAGTGATGATTGCTATGTACGAACTTAAAGATCAAATATAATATGTTTCTTTTCCTTCCTTGTGAACCAATTTTTGCTTCAAAAACTTCTCAGTTTATCAACTTGTTTTCACAAACCAAAAGGCTACTCTTTCAACTTATTTTAATAAAGAGAACACTGCCTTAAATGTTGTAACTCATTTTTAACAATCCCTATTACAGCTCACTTCTGAAAGATAACATTAGATGTGCTATGAATTGAAAGAAATTAGGAGAAATATCACAATACATGTTTGCCTGTCAATGGAATCAAAATTTGTAAATACATGTTTGCCTGTCAATGTAGTCAAAATTTGTAATTTGCCAATCAACTCACATAACAGGATCAAATCACATCATAGAATCTGCAAGTCCCGAGCAAAATAACTCCTAAATATCAGCTAAGTATACATGATATGAACTTTCATATCGAGGCTACAGAAATCAAGAACCAGCACCATATACAAGAATGAACTACAAACCATGCTTCCAATCTCCATAACAAGACACCATACACAACCGGGAAAAAATTCAAGATACTTACACTCAAAAAGAGTACTACTACTGTCCCAGAACAGTTCTTGCTAGATGCAAAAGTGGCTCTTAAGCACGAACAAAATACAATGCCAAATATCTTAAGGAATGTGGCACAAACCTAGAATCAGCAGAAGCTGTAGTAATTACCTCCAAATGACTTCCCCTACCAAGCATAAGTTATATCCATTGGACCATCTGCTACGGCAACGTAAGGATCTGATAAATGCATGCAGCATATGTTCCAGAACTCATGCTCCATGGAATTCAGATGATTATAGTGGAACCCATCGAGCAGTGCATAGTGATAGGAAACTTTACACGCCAAAGTTGCTCCAACAATTAGTGAAGAACAAAAATTTACTAACTGGATTTTATGGTAATATATAGCTCTGTGCCTTCAAGATTGACTGACATAGAGTACTGGGACAAGGCCAGCCATTTTCCCATCTCTGCCAGGACGTTTTTTCTTGACCTGAAACAAGTGCGCACCATATGTCACCAAATAATCATCGGATATAACACTTTCTACAAAGTTCCTTCTTCCCTAGAAGGCAAAGAGAACATAGTAAAAGGAATTCTAGGGAAAGAGTGCAGAGTCAACTTTCACAGTAAACCCAGTAAAAACATGGTTGAACTAAGTAATCAGATAATCTTTACCAAAGGAATCTTTCCAAGAACATGCTTATTACACATTCAAGCTGCCATCAGAGTCTCCTTGAATTTACTCGGTGAAATGCTTAAGAAAGAACAAACAACTATGGTTCAGGGGTACCAGTTGGTCAGTGAAATTCTCCACAAAACTTTTTTTTTTAAAATTTATTACTCCCTCCTTCCTACTTGTTTTCATTGATTGACTAGAAAAGGAGGTTAAGAAAGAGATAGACTTTTGACACAAACGAAATATGCATAGATTAGCAAAAGTACTCTTGTACGAAAGAATTTGTTTTTAAGTCCAGTAGTGCTTACAACAAGTCATATCAATGGCATGGTGGAAATGTAAAAATAACCGAGCTTTAAATATAGAAAAGTGCCTAGGGATAGACAAAAAAGGATAGGGTTCCAAACAAATTGAAATGGAGCAAATAATAGAAAATAGTGGGAGGGGAAGAAGGATTACATGATTGGATTCAAACCTTCCACCTGTTAAATTATCTTTCGATTGATAATAGAGGAAGACTGCAAAGGATATGGAGCCTATCTTGTAGTTTAAATTTATAGACCTGATACTATTTGGCAAAATCACCTTAACTTTAACCACTCCCTTTAGTTATCAGACATGTAAAATATAAACATAAGCTCTAAGAGATCAAAGTATTACATATCTTTTTTTTGTTAAAAAGTATCATAGTTTTAGATATCTAGCACAGCATTCTCAACAAATGACGACATAATCAATATGTGAGAGACAAATAATACAACTTCAGTGATCAGGAGAAGATTAATGCAGTGACTTAGTTATCACATTACCAGTTATAAAGCAACAGTTATATACCTTCATACATCTTAGGATTTAAGTATTTAACATACATTGCCAAAAAAGAAAAGAGTATGGGAGATTGGAAATAAAGAAAGACAAAGTGGAAATAACTACCCATTTTATAAAGTGACAATTACACTTCTTACTTCTCTTAAATAAATAAAAAATACTTCTCTTGCTTTTGGGGTATCACACGAAGTAAAATGGGACAGGTGTTACACCAGCCTTGTTCTTCCTTAACCAGTATTACAGATACTCCACACAAAGGTTCTTTGGTTAGAAAGAATAGAGTGATTGGCATTCGGAAAGGGACGATCCGGATCAGTGTCACGCTTGAAGGAAGATATCTGGTCTAAAGTATCTTCCCCATTTAAAGAAATTGGAAAGTGTGCATATGAATAAATACTACTCCCTCGGTTCCAATTTATGTAAACCTGTTTGACTGGGCACGGAGTTTAAGAAAAAGTGAAGACTTTTGAAATTTGTGGTTCTAAACAAGTCAAAAAGGGGCCCAGAGTATTTTTGTGGTTATAAACGCTTCTCATTAAGGATAGAATTGTAAGTTTAAGCTAAATTGTTACCAAATTTAGAAAGGGGTAATTCTTTTTGGAACGGACTAAAAAAGAAATAGGTTCACATAAACTGGAACAGAGGGAGTAAGATACAAGTAAGCTGAGTCAGATTAGATGCATGATTAGCAATGAAGAGTGGCTCCACAAAACATTCCACGGGAATTACTTACATAGAACCAGCCATCTACTTCATACTCAATTTCCACTTCTTCCCCCGCTATCAAATTCAGCTGCAGATTAGAAAATCGAAAACTTAATTAACCTTTGCAACTCCAGTAAGCCACTAAGAACTAAGATACATTTAGGTAGAATTTGGACATAATTCAAAATGTCAAAACCAGAGTGCAACGTGTTAAATGGGACAATTTTGTAGCAAGCAAGAACATTATATATGGTATCTTCATCCCCGCCACACATACTACTACAAGGGATTACTGGATCATTAACCAGCCTACCTCATCATCTCCACCAGCAGTGAAGTCGTAAAGTGCTGTACCAGACTGTGGGTTGCCTGAAGAGACTCGCTCTTCTTCATGGGATCCAAAACTGTGAGAACCAGAGCTAGCCAAGGGATTCTCAAACGACTCGTATCTTTCTCTAGTAGGTGATGAATATGGTGGAGGCTCTTCTCTTATCTGCAAATTCCTTCAATAAAAGACTTGCATCTCACATGACAAAAGATATGAAATTGACTGGCTAGGAGGCCTTACCGGGGATCCCAGACCATCGTATGAGGAGCCACTGTAGGAATTATTCTTATATCGGCTCCCACCAGATTTCCCCTGTCATAGGCAACAATGACCCATTTTACATACTAATACAGGCAGAAAAGAAAGGAACCCAAAATGAAATACAACGATTGAACCGCTGCTCAGCACTAGAAGCAATGCAATTCGAGTATCACGGAATTTTTCTTTCTTTTTTAAGGTATCAAGGAGAAAATATGGCTTGTAACACGGAAGACTATTTCATTAAAAAACATTTTAAGATAGTTTCAACCTCATAGTAGAGTGCATTCCTAGTTATATGTGTTACTTGAGACTACACTCAGATATAAACAAGGGTATTGAAACAATTAATAGAACTTCCATTCTGATCCAGATTTTTCACCACTAACTAGAGTGTATTATCTCATTTCATAACACAGTTTAAGCAAGTTCGCTAATCATGTATACTCGAACGTGTTGACCAGGTCCCCTGATCCTCACAGACTTGTTGTCATTGTAATAAGAGACAAAACATCAGGATTCAGCAATTGCATTTAGTTTGGTAACTAAGACTGAACCAATCTCACTACACAAGTTTACCAGGTTTACCAATATGGTATAGATCAGTTTTTTCCTATGAGGAAGAAGATTGATACACTTGATCAAAAGCAGAATATGGCAATTTAGTTATTTACGTTCTCAAGAAAATTTTAAGGAAGCTGAGCTGCTCTCAGTACAGTGGTTAAGCAAGTGTTCAAACAGTGGTAATAAAGAGATTCGAAGTTCAAGCAACAGAAATGATAGCTAAAAGTAGGTGCAAATTGTACACGAGGAATGAAAGGATGCAGTGACTTCAATTATCGCATGGCATGATGAAACACAAAATTATCCATTATCTTCACCTAATACCACCCTTTTAGAACATTGTTTGGCTGGAAAGAGTAGATCTGTCCCCCCTGATATAAAGCAAAGTCAGTCTTAAATACTAAAATAGCATGCTTTGCAATGTAAACAATCAGGGTTGGTTGGATTTCTAAATGCAGTCTTTTGGAACTAAATAGACTAAAAACTCAAATTTTCTGATCTTTTCCCTCAATTAAAAATGTTTATTATCACCAGAGAATGGGTTCCCAAATGATGTAAACAGTGACAAGTTTGGATATGTCATTCTTAAACCTAGAGGTATTCAAAACTTCCTGCAGCGTTACATAATATCTGGTTCTATTTGTTAAGTCTCCAATCCTAAGTTAAAACATTCTTGCCTTTTAACTCTGATATATCCTCTCTTCCACTTGAAGATTACTTTACAAACAAAATAAGAAAGTGAATCCAGACATATCGCATCCATCACTTGATGCTTTCCTCATTTTAAATCATGAGAGAGAGACCAAAGTTCTGCAGTCTCAGGAAGGTAACTTTCTATAGTGATCCAAAAGCAGGTTGAACATAAGCAACTTTGGTGCTTCTACATAAAACATTTTAGCTACATTTATACAAACAATTTGCACACCTCTGTCATAATTACTGGTTAGCACACAACATTCTATCTATATTTCTTAATAGATGACAATATAAAAGCAGTTGAAAAAGAAATAGAAAAATAGAAGTACAGCAGGATGTCAATAAACGTCAAACTTTTCCAAAATATACCAGTGAGCTCCCATTTTCTTAGGAAGATTTCACCATTTGGCAAGTGAAGCTTAATAGAACATAAGCCAATTGATAAATACTTTATCTTTTGTGTGTTGGGGAAGCGGGATTTTTGGGGGTGGAATAAGGGAATGAATATGACAGGAACTGTGAACATACATATGCTACAAACATGAATGGCAAATCGGTGAGAGCAACATAATCCTGGACAAATACAGATACCTCTATCTATGAGGTTTTGGTTTATGCATAATCATGAAAGCGGTTGTCCGTTGGGTTGTATACCATTACATAACAGAGGTCAAGTACATCATTAAACAATATGGTTCTTCATCAAATGTCAAATTTCCAGGCAAATGTTTCTTCATTTGGGATAAGCTAAATGAGAAAAAAATTAATTGGATATAGTCGTCCACATCAGCAGCTATAATATGAAGCTCCTTCAAGCATACCATAATTATTCTCAATGCATTAAATTTAAAGCAGATTTTAAATGCTAACTACCTACCTTGGATTGTGAAGTCCCATAAGTAGATGGCTTAGAACTGAATAACGATGGATAGTTCATTCCACCAAAGTGCGATGATATGGATGTCTCAACTGACCCTACTGAGTCTGGGGAGGAAGATCCCGATGATCGTCCATCGTCTTCCTGCAGCCGCCAGTTGTATATATTTAATCATTTGCACCATGTTGGAGTAAAAGAAAGCAGCATAGATTCAAAAATTACTACCTCCATCTCCGAAGATTCTAGGAGAGTCTTTGCCCACATATCATCATAACTCATGGAGGGTCTAGAAATAATGTTCTCCTCCTCAACATCAGGAGCATCAGTACCAGCACCAGCAAGAAACTCATTAACCTAGGGATGAAAGAACTCCATAACAAGCATGAAAAAATTGGTACAGCAGCGGTTAATCTATTTAACGGTACATAATGCTACACTATGTTTCTGCACTAAAGAGATAGATAGTGTTACATCAAACAAATTCAGATACAATTCAATACATACTTGAGACACATACAGAGAACACATTTTCGAAAATAATGTAAATGAAACCGAGACAGTAAAAAGCATTTTCGCTATCCAACATGTTCTCCTGGCTATCCAACGTGTTATATCAGCTCTATGTCCACAGCAACCTTTTATAAGTTGTCCAGGGTACATATGACATAGAATAAAGAAGTTGCATGCAATTTTCTTTTGTTTTATTCACTACGATATACAATTTGACCACCAGAACAGAAAGGTGACGGTGTCAGTTTTCAGGTTTGATACATCACTCAAATACTTACCCTGTTAATTGCAGGTGCATTATTTAAGCTATCATCACCCAGATTTGCAGCCCAGAAGTTCACAAGGTCATCATCAATTGTTTCAGGCTCAGCAGCTTGTGCTTTGGTAGTTTCATACATAAGATCGGAGATACCCGTGGCTACAGCGGGATCGCTGAGTCCAGTTGACGCACTTATATTATGCCGAGTGCGGTAGACATCGATTAGCTTTGCGCTGTTCAATAAATATAACTTTATTCAATACACTACATTATAGAAAACTTAAAAGAGTCTAAGCACACTAACCATCATATTAGCATGTATAAGATGAAAAATACTGGTGAAGATCTGGACAAAGACAACGCAACACCAAAAAATGGGAATAATTGGGTGAAATGCTAGCAAAGCTGGGTTTAAAACCTATTGGGGATCATGATTAAATATCTAGTCTTTTATTACTAAGCCTTCAGTTTCCATGTTACTTTTACTAACTGCTCTAGCCAAGAGTCAGTTGGTATGATGTCAATTTCCCCATTAAGTTAAAAAATCAGAAGTATGTGTAGGGTAGTTTCAGAAAGCCCACTGAAATTAGATGACTATGAACAGTTTCAGAAAGCCCACTGAAATTAGATGACTATGAATTATCAAGTGGTTTTAAGGACTCATGTCTTGCCATTGTGAAGTCATATCCCCAAAGATTTGCAATTTCTAAGAGAAGCTTTACTTTTCCTTGCAAGAATGCTAAGGCTCCAACATTGTTGTCAGGAACAGAAGGCAACTATGGTAGTAAGGTTGCTCCTAAGTTGTATAATGATATATTTCTTTTAGATTATCTTCCCCCACAATGATCTGCTCTTTAACAAGGTAAAATTGGGAATCCCAGGATGTGAATCAGGCTCTAGAGGCCACAAGGTTACCATGGGGGAAAGAGTACCAAGCTTCTGTGGTCACACGTCCCATGCACGCATTACAACCTCGATGTTAGTTCATTACACGCCATGCATTTTCTTAAATCTAATTACTGGTATTTGACTACAACCTATATAATATGTGTTTTCTAGAATTTAGAATTTGGTTCCTTTACTTAATACATGTAAATATTCTATCATGCAAGATATTTAAATACATTTCTGACATTTGAGTTTTAATCAATTTTGATATATCCACAGCTTCTATAATTACATCTATTTTAAATTTTATTTCATTTTTACGCCCCGTGTCATGGAACTAATGTCCCATCCCATGAGAGATAAAATGTGCAGACCTTCGTCTCCACTTCCTAAAACACTGTTAGCAAGTGAATTGATGTTGTCTGAACAGAAGATCAAGATGAACTGTATATTTTTTTGTTTCACATTTGGTGTAAAGAAGCTCTCGTAGAAGATGTAGAGTCCATAGTGGACATCATTGGGGCCTTGTAACTACCACAAGACTAGGTTTTTGTTTCTTTGGGGGGTCTTTGTAACTTTCTGTAATCTCTTTAACACAATCTTTGTGATAAGGGTTAACTTTATCTTATATATAAAATATGTTACCTTCTCAACAAAAAAAGTGAATTGATGTTGTCGCTCTCTCACTTCTACGTGAAACTAACGAAAATTCATTTCTTGTATGCTCAAACAACAATGCCAAGGGGAACTTAAGAATAACGTACCTCGTTGGCCCTAAAGGAAGATACTTTGATCTTGGAACATAACAAAACAGAGAAACGAGATCCAAGAGCCTCTCATGAGTTTCATACAATTTCTTTAGCTCCTCGTCAGTCCATTCTTTTTTTGCATTATCATGGTTACGCATCTCTCTACATATTCAAGCAGAGTGTTAACAAGGGACTACGTGTCACACCTTACAAATGGTTAATTAGTGCTCAGATGAGCCAGAAAATAGTCTTACACTTACTTTATCAATTCATCCTGCGCAGAATACATTTCATCAAGGACCTTCAACATAGGGCTGATTAAAGATCCAAGGCCAGTGCCACTGGCTCCCTGGTCCTCTCCATTGCTTATATGCATGTCTGAGAATTGAGACTGTACACCACCCTGGGCTAAGGCATGTAAAAATTCATAGATCTGTAACCTATAAGGCTCACCAGATCGAATTGCAATAGTTGTAAGAGCCTGGGCAGCAATTATGCGAACCTGAAATTTAAAAGTAGTAAGAAGGAAACCACGGAACACTTAATAATATACATTTTTTAAATATAAAACACTCAATGATGTATATTGACAATAACAAGAAGCATTTTAGTTGGATTACAACTAGAACTTCCCTATACTCATATATTCGTACCATACGTTAGCAAGAAATAAAAGATGAGTAAACGCCTCCACCTACTGCAGGAGAAAGGACTGCCCCAAGAGGTATTTACGGACGCATATACGGGTTTAGAGCACCTTCAAGAGGGAAGACTACACTTTTTCAGGGAGACAAGACCTGAACCGGACCGGACCGGGCCCGCGGTCCTAACGGGCCTAACGGGCCTGTCCTGATGGGCCGGTCTTAACGGTTCTTTAAAGCCCGTGGCGGGCCGGTTCTTCCTAGAAAGCACACGAGCCCGGGACCGGCTGGCAGGCCTGGGCCGGGCCTAACGGCTAGTTTTTATCCAACGGTCAAAATTTAAAAAGTAGCCGTTTGGGCTGCAATTTTGACCGTTTGGATGTTTAG